AGCACRTACATTTAAATATTGTTTGGGATGAGGTGAAAAAAACAATTGTTCTYGTTATTCAAATGGGAAACAGAGACATAGACCCCATCCCAGGCTCTAACTGTCCTTTGCCACCCTGAAGGTGCATGTTTAGCCTTCTAAGAAATTCCCTGGCATGTGGGAGCTCTCAGCATATTTCAGGGATCAGGCCATACGACTGGTCTGCTCCCGCTTTCCAGCATGGAACAGAATTGAACACAGCTGAGATCATAGCACTCAGGACCTCGGTTTTAAAGGTAGTGTATTCAGGTGYCCAAAGGGGCAGATATATGCCAGGATTTTATTTTATTTGTTATTAMTGTTCCATGATGCCTAATTCCTATTGATTTTATTCTAGCAGTAAGGATCAGTGCGTCGCCTGAGGTCATGCAGGGATGCTGTGGAAGAGCTAGGAAGTGAAATGAGATTTCCTGTCTCCCTCCAATACTTTAATCAAAAGGCTGTGTTTTATATCACATTTTATGACAAGAAAGCTAAGAAACCTTATTAACTAATCCAGCTCTTTGTTCTGAACTGTATGAGGATATCAAGTACAGGATAATATTGTCTGTTTAAGGATATTCACATATATTATGTTGCTCAAGAATTTGCTGGGTTAAACTTTGGATATTTTCCTTTAAAGACCTTCRTCATATTTTTAGTATGGTTATTATCCATGAAAATGTCCTCCCTATATATTAATTGACAAAATAGCTCATCCTTTTCTTTGTCCTCTGCTGGATTTTATGGTTTAAAGATGAAAGCTAGCCTAATATTCCAAAACAAGAAATTTAAACTGCATTTTGTCTCTAGTAGTCGGCATTCTTCCTTAATTACCACGTGCTTTCCACAGTTTTGCATGGGGATTACCTTTCTGAGAGCCTTTATTAATTACCTGCAGGAAGACACTGATATTTAGCCTTTGTACTGCATTTGCTGATCAAGCCTTTCAAGGGAGGGGAAATGAATGGCTCAAGGGAACAGTAATGGGTATTAGAGAATTTAGCTCACAGGTGACTGATGGAAAGACATCTAGGCTGCTAATTACCAACCTTTTGTAGGTAATTTGGAAACAGCAGAAATAGAAGAGGAGAATCTTGTACCACATCATGGCCTGGTAGGAGAGGGAAAGGGGAGTTGGTGTGCAGTTTTTATGTCGTTTAGCAGGTGCTGATGTTGCATTAAGATGTCATTGTCAAACTTGATAGCATTGAAGGGAGAAAAGGGTTGCTAAATTTCTAGCAGGTCAAAGTATTTCTSGTTCTGTAGGGACTTTCAGTAAAAATCTGTTGGACTAAAGGCTGGCTTTAAATGTTTTTAATCTAGTTTTTTTTAAAATTTATCTTCTGAGAGCCACTGTAATAAATCAAAATTATTGATTTAGCTTGTAGCAGTTCTAAGATTCAGTCATTTAAGAGTCGAAACTCCTGTATTACTCAGAGTAATAACGCAGCGCTTGGAAATCTCTCATTGGAGCCTCCCAGTCCACACTTGTAGACAGGCATTCCGCAAAGATTTCTGTTCATTTATGGATCTTACACCCCTATGATACCGTGTTTTAAAATAACTGTGTAAAAGGCTCTGTGCATATCAAAGGGGCTTCCTCCCCTGTGCGAGCGCGCAGTCCAATCCAGCACCGGACAATTAACATATTTATAAATCAGGATAAAGCTGCAGAGTGAAGCGGCTCAGGGGAGCTCTCAATTCAATCAAATTAGGCTCGTGCATTCACCACAGAGCCGTCCCTCAGAAGCCCTGCCTTCCCGCAGCCTCATTTGTAAGCACTGTGCGCTGTGTACTTTAGAAAAGTTTTATAATTACTTGCTGTTCCGGCTGTTGAGCAGTTCTAAATGTTAGATATTAAGGAATCGCTGTTTCAGTCAGTGAACAAGCTCTGAACATTAAATGTGCTTCATGAGAAGTTTTTTTCTCAGCCATTACACATCTCGGAAGGCGTATTTTTTTTCAAGTGGCTGCTTTGCCAGCTGTTGATCATCTCTGTTTCTTCCCTATGAAGAGAGAAGGAGGGGACGGGTGGGAGTGGGGCACTGCGTGGAGCTTTTAGTGCTCCCAGAGCRAGGGGGGGCATTTACTCACCGAGAGAGGTGTTGAAATAATTATGCAGGTCATTCTTAAAGTGGCAATAAAAACTTTGTCTCGTTCCATGCTGATTTGGGGTGCTGTAGGTATTGTGTTTTGCAGAAGAAGCATTTTAGCAAAATTTTAAGAAATTTTAGCTTTTTTTTTTTTTTTTTGGAACTGTTTTTTATAGCCCTCCACCACCAGAGCCTGATACCTTGGGAAGAAGGAGCCCATCTGTTTTATAGACAAGGGAGCTATTTGGCTGAAATAGTGTAAGGGTTCAATAAGGGCTGGAAATCCAAATAAAGTAGGTGGTTTGAAACAGTGTCATAAGGGGCAGCAGCAGTGGTTCCTTCCCCAGAAGAGCTCAGCAGTTATGATGAAGAGTATTCCTCAGCTGGGACGAAGCTGAAATTTAAGATTGACACACAGAAGATCACTTAGGACCCAAATCAAGTATTTTAGTTGCCATTTCCAGTGATATCAGACTCCAGAGAGGGGGAACATATAAGTGAGCTCCTTGCCCAGGTGCTACCAGTGAGCTAGCGCATGTCAGAGCCTCTGTGCCCTTCCTTGTGTGCAGAGCCGAGGTGGCTGAGTTTCTGGCGGAACAGAAGGGACATTAGGGAGTGCGTGGCCTTCACACCCCACCACAGCAGATGGTGCATAAATAGAGCATGGACAGCAAGTCCCTTGCTTGGGTCCTAGAGGATCTCAAGGTGGCAGATGTCACTGTCACAGGTGCAAGAGTGATTCCTATAATGCGGCACTGGGGAGGAAGGAAGACAATTTTCATCTCGCTGGTTTATGGTGGAATTAAATGTTTCTTGAGATTTAGACTATTTCTTGTGGTTCTAGTGCACAGAGAGCCACGGAGGCAATAGCCACCCAGGGCAGCCATTACATAGGGCAGCCTTGGGGAGCAGGAGCTGCCTGGAAAGGAGTTATTTCCATCTCSCACTTGCCACCTGCAGCTCTCTGGTCGTACCCCTGGTGTTGCTACGCTTTGGGTATTGAGAAGCTGCACATTTCACACCTCCCCAGAGGCCGTTTGGAGAAGTGCTCTGATTTCCCAACCAAGGGAAGCTTTCGTGATGTATATTATCTCTTACAGCAGCTTTTATGCGTGCAAAAATTTATTCTCTGTTTAGCATAAGTGAAAGCACTGARATAGTCAATCACATGCAAAAACTTCTCCTCTGTCAGTTACTAAGCCTCAGACCTAGAAACAGAGAAAATAATGGCCTTTCAGGTGTCATTAATCTAAGACATAATGGTGTCTTTAACAGCTAAATGAACACTGTAGCTCAGGTGATTCARGTATCTTTGCATATAATCATGCTTTCAAATAAATTACAAAGTTGAATCCAGTAGGTAGTCATTTGGGGATGTCCCAGAAGGATGTGATCTACAGTTGCTTGGTATTTACAGGTAAAAGATTTATTTAGTAGGAACTCTTCAAATGGGAATAGGCTGATCCTGAGTTTTGAATTGCTAAGTCTTGTTTATCTATCACATTACTACACAAAATCACTCTTTAAATGCATGGAAGAAGCTGAACCACCATCACAAAAGTGTTAGCAAGTCTCTTTTTTGACACTGTAGGGAAACAGCGAGGAAATAAATCTAAAGCATTTGGAAGTATTAAGACTCTTCAGAGTAAGCCATCCAAATGGAAAGCTATGATCAAAATAATAATTATCAGAGGAATGCATTTACTTTTAAAGTAATCTTGCAAAGTAAAGCACAAAATTTGTCTTAAGTAATAAAAATAGTGGTTTCTGTTCAGGAGGCAAAAAGAAAGTATAGCAATTGAGAATAAAAGCGCTTGGTACATAATCAATTCTTAATGGATTTTCTCAGAAATGGACCTTTGTGTATTGTATATTTAACAAAAAGGATAATTGAGGCTGTTTGCTGAATGCATCCAAAGCCGGATGAGGCTAGAACTGGGTTGCTGATGCTAAGCAGGTGCATGTCCTTCTCTTCGTTTTAAAACTATTACAGAGTATGGTGGTTTGAAGTGATGCACTGTGAAGTAACAAGACTTTCTATGCTGAGGAAGGACATTTGGAAAACACCAGAGGAGTTAATGCATACTTTCTGATTCAAATAATTTGTCATATATGTTTTATTCTTAAGAAAACCAGCAGATAGTCCAGTAAATTCTTTTCACACATCTTTTGTTTCTGATAAAGTGAAAGAAATTTAAGGTGAAGGAGGAGAATTTTTGCCTGTCTTTTCCTATCTATTACTCAAATTTTCTTAGCGCTCTTGACTTCACAGTATTTTTTGCCTTTGTTCTTTCTATTTGGTTTTAGTTGCATGGACTCTTAATTTCCAGAGGGTACTTCTAAATCTTGACTAATCTTGTCATTTTGCCACTTCAGCATGCAGATTTTTATAAGGCTTCTGTGCTGCATATACGAACTTCAGYTACACTGAGTTTCATTGCTATGGATTCCTACAGCTCTGAGGCTGTATGTGTACAACGAATATTACTGTCTGTTTTGCTGCACTAATTCCRGTTTCTTCTGTCTTTATGAGCTGCACCAGACATAACTTTGGCCTGTCAGGGTCGTGTTCATCATGTTGCAAGATTAAAGCCCACTTGCAAAATCGTGAAAAATAATAGAGTAATTAAGCAAATATACTTTGCTTTCATCAGACATTTTATCCCAAATTTTAGCCCTTCACATGGTGTTCATAGTTAAAACAGCTGACCCATTTTGAATAATTCCAGACTGTGTGCTCCGAAAAAAAAAGTTGTAGACTGGAAATTGCCTTGTTTTCTATCTGCATGTAAATAGCTGCATTTTTAGTAGCTAATATGATTCACTTCATTTGCCTTCATCAGTGAAAGTAATAGCTCTTCCCTTGCCCTCTTTTCCTCTTTGCAGAAGTAACAGTTTATTCAATGAGGTCGTGCAGATGAACTTTGAAATAGCCAGTTTCAGCAGCCTTTCTGGAACGCAGCCCATCACCTGGCAGGTGGAATACCCTCGGAAGGGGACGACGGACATAACCTTGTCTGAAATCTTCATCTGCCAGAAGGATCTTGTTGGAATCGTTCCACTGGCAATGGTAAGAAACTGTGTCATCGTGTTGCTCCATCCTATCTTTGGGTGGCCTGAGAAAACGCCCAGCAGCAGCTTTGCTCTGCCCTGTCGTACTTTGAGAGCTCACTAGGTCTGCTTCCTACAATCATGCTCGCATTTAATGGTCTGTACATGTCACACAATTGCAATTCTTATTAACTGACTGTAGAAGRAAAGAGTGCTGCCACTTTAAAAATCTCTCTCTTTCAGACTTTGAATCTTGAATTTGTCACACACAGTTCCCCCCAGGCTACCAGCTGGGARCACACAGCCGAGTAGACTTACCTTCCCATTTCTAATTTTTCCATTACATTAATGGTAAAGGGCTTGAACTTGCAAGATGCAGAGCAGCTCTAGGGAGCCTTGAGCCCCTTCTGCTCAAGTGCTTAGTTCATAGCAGGCTGGGGCGGATAGTAATTTGCTGGCTAATGGCATAAGAACCTGTAGTTTCAAGAAGAAACAAAAAAAGTCTTTCAAAGAAGGAAAAGAAGCCATAGGTTTCTACAGGAAACATTGTTTTGTTCAGGAAAAGATTCTGTTTAGGAAGATTGTGCTTAGGAGAAGTTCTCGTTGGCTGTCATGTAATTTCTAATGATCTTTCTGCTCTTTCATTAAAAGTGATCTACAGCCATACATATATTCACAGTGAAAGCAGCCTCAGTAGTATATTTAAGAAATGCAGGTGTTGATTCAAACTGAAGAACTCTAAATAGACTTCTATGATACATGAGAGCATCTTGGGTAAGAAGTAGAAGTATCAYGGAAGTATTTTAGGTTATCTTACTTGTATGCATGTCTACTGCCATGGGGAAGGATGCCTTGAGTTAAAATCTACTGACATTCTTTTCTTTGAACTGTGGTTTGCAATAGATAACTAGATTAGTATTATTTCCTGAAAATCCTAGTCTTCAGTGTGTTCTTCCACTTTGATGAGTGAATCTGCTGCTTATATCAAATGAGGTCATTCCCAGCAATTTCCTGGTCCAAAGTATGTTTAAGTCAGCAGAATGCCCATGCTGCATTCCAGGTCTGATTGGAAAATATTGTCCTCATTACTTGTGGAGCTGAACAGGGAAACACGTATTTGAGCTTCTGTCCTATAAAGATATACAGACACTTAATGAGGTGTCTTATGGCCAGATTTTATTTTGAGTTATATGTGAGTAGCTTCCAGTACCAAATGATACATGTCTGTCCACTGGCAGACTTAACATCCCCTCCCTGTTCATTTTAGACATCATTCATCAGCTTCTTTATTCCATACCTGAGGGGAGCAGAGTTTTTTCAGTATCTTGTAACAGTGTCTAATTCCTCTGCACCTGCACACAGGATTCAAGCTTACTGCACAAACTTGTGTCATCTATTCTAGMTGAAAATTTGTCCTCTTATAATGTCACGTCTAAGGTCTAGCTTAATGAAATCAGAGGGGAACAAATCATACAGGGTGAGATTTATTTCCAACAGATGTGCTATTAGGCAGTATGATTTTCAAAGGGTTCAAAGAATCATTAAACCTTGCTCTTTGCAAAGCTTTCTTGTGATAACACTTGGCTGGAGCCAAAATACACTGTGTTAATAGAATCCAGTTGGATGGGATACCAGAGCAAAATTGGCTTTACTAGCAAGATATTAATAGATAAAGGGAATTTTCACAGGTTTCTGTTACCTAACACCACAGATCCAGCCGGGGTGCCTTCTTCTTTTAGGCATTAATCTCTTCCTGAGCTGGCAATTTTCCTGTTCAGAAACAARAGGCCCACTGGAAAGAAAAAGGGAGATACTGAGTCTATAGAGCAGTCAGACTGCCCACTTCATCTCAGCTACCCTCTGTAAAGCACAGCCTGTTATTCTGTGCAGAAATTACATCTTGGATCTCAGGGTTTTTCAGCAAGTGTGTCTCTTAAAGCCCCTTGCCAGTGAAGTAGATGAGTGTGGTTTAAGCATGAAGTGTTCCTATATAACAAAAGGCTTACATCCAAAATATAAGCCGTCCTTCAGAGTTTTTAAAGGTAGCCAGAAAAGGGAAAGAAGGAGCTGCCAGTGGTGTTGCATTTGGATTTCCCAAAATGTGACCAAATTTCTGCTGTTAGTTTGATGGGGATTCTAGTCAGTCCTTTGGGGTTGAAAGCAGCAAGTCTTTCCTTCATTTGAGTATAACATCACAGTTTCTTCCCAATTGTGAAGAAAAGCATCTCTTGTATGAGCAATTCCCAGTGCTAAAACTTAAAAAGCAGGAAAGATCGTGTGCCCTTTATTGCCCTCTGCCTGAGTACCCTAGGAAAAGAAGTGGTAAAATGCAAAAGTGGGCCTCCAAAGGATTAGTGCAGTCATTCAGTGCAATATTTAGAATGGAAAAGATTAAAGAATTGACATTGTCAGTGAGAACTGAASCCAGAATTTAAAGAGTTGTATCGGCCTTCGATCAGTGGAGCAAATGGTAAGATACAGCTGTGGAAAAGTCACTGGAAATTTATCATACACTCCATAGAAAGCATTTAGGAGGCTCCAGATCCTGTGCGTCTGCCTGCAAAGCTAAATACTGTGGACAGGGCAGAAACAGCAATGTTATGATGCTGCTGCAATGAGCACTGCAACAATTTACAGTGAGCAAGAGAAACCTCAAAACTACTTGGCCGGGAATAAGTGTAGTAACTTTTTGACCCATATGCCTTTTAAAAAAGTAGCAAAAATTAGATATAAATCCAAGGTAGGTGAATGTTTCTTAATGCAATTGGAATTTAATCAGGCTAATTAATTTTGAAGGACATTTTACCTCTAAAGATATTTACAGAGAAAAATGAGATATAAAGTTAGAAAGATGTAATTCCAGCTGGCTCTGGTGCTTTTTGATTCTCACATACCAAGAATGTTAGTTAAGTAAGTACTGTGGGAGGTGATGCTTCAAAGAACAGATCTCCACCRGGCATTTGCAGTAGCCTTCTCACTACCAGCATCCTGAATATGGCACTTGATCCAACTATCCATTCTGTATGTCTTTCATGCTGCCTACATGAGGTTCTGTGTGTGTCACTGACAGCAGAATATTAGATTTATATATTATATTTCCATCACTGAGTAGCAATAATTAACTGAGGCAGGACTTGTAAAGGGGTAATGTGATTTGGTAGAGCAAAGGATACAGAGAGAGAGAGAGAGATGCTATTTCAGGCACACAATCCCTCCTTYAGATCCCCGCCTCGCTTATTTACTTAGACCCCAACAGCTGTGAAATACTACAGCTAGAGAAAATTGAGGCTTGTAAAATTCATGAAGAGAGCTAAATAAGAAAACAAAGAGATTTCTTAAGGTAGGACACAAAATACATCCCGCAGTTTACGTACAGGAAAGATATGCTGCAAAGATTTAACCATCTAGCAGAGAAACTCTACTGCCTGAACTGTGTCCTGTTCAAGAGCTTCTTATTTCATGTTACCCGTTCCAGGATCAATTAGAAGAGTGCTTTTGTAGAAGCTTAATTAATTATCTGCTAAGCTGCTTTTGAAAACCTCTTCAATTAATCACAAGTAACCTCAGGACTTGCCAGTTAAGGTGGACAGGTTTGCATAGCTTACTTGCCACATTTTCCTTAAAATTTGGTCCTGTCATGAGCAAATGTGGGCAACTAGGGATTTTGCCACTTGACTAGATAAAAAACAAAACCAAACTTGTTCACTTTGTAGCACGCACACACACAAGAATCTCATTTAATTAAGAAGTCTGTTTGTTTGTGTCTTAGAGCACGTGCTGGGAAATTCAGAAAGAGACTTCTTTTATGATTTGTATTATTAATACTTGTTTTTAATATCATTAAATTTTGCTTTGGTAGAAGGTACCAGGAAGCAGGTAAGAGGCTTATGTTCATTGATGGCAGTAAGTCAACATCCATATTAAAACTCTTTCCCAGAAAGTGGCTTGGTCTATCAGTGGTTTAATATGTATGTAAGACCATCTGGATCCCCCTATGTGGACCTAGAGAAGTCCAGGACCTGGAGAAGCAGTCCAACAAGACAAACTCCCTGTGTTAGTCCACCTCTAACTGTGACTTGCATGAAATCCAGGTAACTTACCCCACGCATATTTCCTCTTCAAAATGGCACAGACACCAAATTTATGATGGCTCTTTGAGGACTCACTCRTTAGGCTCTGTGAGATGTTGATAACCGCATAAAAGCAAATTGAAGTTGGAGGCATCCTCAGCCATGAGAGCTGCTGCTKCTGTTCAGACTAATGTGCCCAGAAGCATCTGCACCAGTGGCTCTAATAAAAGGTGTAGCAGGTGCTCTCTGTGCACACTCTGCCTTGCTGCTGATGCAGACTGCATCTCTGCCCTGCTTAATAGCATCCTGTGAACTGTTGGTTAATAGTTCACAGAACAGAAAAGTAATTTTTATTCTCAGTAGCCAGGTAGAGTAAGCTGAAAACCCAGACCTAACGCGCAGCTGAGATTCGCTCCAACTTATTGCTGCTCAGTTCTTTTACGTACACCATGTGTACTTTTTGCTCTGGTTTAAGTTTCATTAAGAAGTTCTTGGTTTGCACACACCTTTCTTTGCGTTCAGAACTGCATACATTCAGAATTGTTTTGTAAAAGTGGAGACCAGATTAACTACAGTACTCTGTATTCTGGGTGGAAGGCTGGTCTGACTCTCCTGATCTTGACTGGTGGAGTGTCAGTAATGCAGATCACTTGTGTCCCTGCAATTTCCATTATGTCCAGTTACAATCGTTTAAATGAGAGCAGCATGTCTTCCTTTAGATTTACTCCAGGTAGTTTCACTAAGGTTTGTGTCATTGCTCTGTGTTTATACCAGATGAGCTTAAGTGCCCACATACCCGCTTATAAATTGACCGTATTGTATAGTGTATTGAGCAGTGTTTCAGTTCAAGACGCTGTTCAATAGCAACTCATACTGGTTAATCTTATCTGTTAAAAGTAGGCTCTTTTGTTGTCCGCCCATCAGGAAACAAAAGCAAAGAAAAGCATGT